ACCACTTCTCGCGGTCATTCCTCAGACTCTTGATGAGCTGGTGGTCGATTTGGGTCCAGCGCAGTGAAGAGGTTGGCGTTTCTTGTGTGAGAACCTCGTGTTTGACAGGAACAATCCGGACTCCATAGAGTTCAAGTAGGCGATCTCCGTTGTCCGTTCGGTTGGCTGGGATTGCATGTGATTCGCCAAAAAACATTTCTGATTCGTCCAGGGATCCCACTTAAGCATTGAATTCTCCGGGGATTACTACGACGTCCGTTGATCGAGCATTTTGTAGTTGAGCAAGATCGTTGTACAATTCATCCTTGATTTCAGGTATATTGTAATCCGTCTGTGCATACGCCAATACGACGAATAAGCATCGACGCTTCGTTCTGTAGTTGTTGACTCGAACTGAAGCGTTGAGANACTGGAATCCAGTCAAGAAGCGAGCGCTTAGCACTTGGTGCAATTCCGACACCAGCAACACCGCGAGCTTCGGATGCCGATTCGCCTGACACACGAAGGGTGAAGCGTGAGGTTGAGGTTGGATCAGGAGAACGCAGAGATAATGAAAGTGGGGTCTTGTATGCGTGTTTCGGAGACACAACATACATCTACATTGAAAGTTTCGAGGGTTCTAGCCAGGGCAGCTTGTTGGCCAATCTGATAGAGCGTGCGGATATTGAACGCGTCTAAGTTAAAAGGGGACCTTGTCTGGCCTTGTTTGTAAAACGCTGATTGATATTTGATGGGTGGCATAAACAGGAGGCACGTGGGATTATTCGGGGTTGAGAAGGACTAGACAGATGGGAAAGATGGTTTTCCAAATGGGTGCCTAGGACTTGAAGGCATGACACACTTCACGGTAGCTTACACCAACGAAGGGGGTTTTCTTTGGGAACACTAACCGGGGCCCTTGGCTGAAGAGTCTGACCCACAAGGCAGTGCGGGGCGTAAATTCAACACGGGAGTGTGAACGAAGCACCCGTGTGGGAGCTTCTAGAGACCTGTCACGCAAGACCTTTCGGTTAAGTTTTTTGTTCTCTGGTGCGTTGATTATCGGTCCGCTTTTCGGGATCAGCCCTCAGCCTCACGCACCCAATGAGACAAGCGGAACGTGGACGGGAAGGCACCTTATTGGCTGGGGACTGTCTATTTTTGGCGGGCCGTGGCTGTCCAATGAAGTGCGAAGACTTCTCCCACCGTCGAAAGGAAGCTCCAGGTACCCTGCTCTTAAGTCCATCTAACGGGGTCCTTTTGACCGGTAAACTGCCCCTCACAGTGTTTATTTGCTGGAGTGGCCTCTCCAGAGGTGTGTGAATAAAAGAAAAAAGCCAGGGAGTGCCCAAGCAGCTGGCTATGTGAGATTGATCTTCGTCTGGCCTCTACCCGTTGACCTTTCAGGTATGATTGGATCTACGGCTGTGAAAAGCCATCCTGTGTAGCTCGCAGGGTCATGGAGGCACGCAAGCCATCACACCACGTCAAGGTGCAGTCTCATCATGAGTGGCTGATGGTCAAAGAATGAGAACAAAATTCCAACAGTCTACCTCCATCCTATTCCCGCGCCAGAGATATCTCAAGTTGGCAAAAGTCAATCCAGCCTTCTATTCGCATACCGACATCTCATCCGTGAAGTGCCCACAGGATGAGATGTAGTTGCACATATAGAATATTGTTTGATTGCTCTAATAACTCCCCGGTGAGAGTGATGTAGGGAGTTGGACGAACCCAGTGTTGTATCATTGAAGGTGCAAAACGCACAACGAACAAACCACTCAAACCACCTTTGACGGCCTGCGACCTAATGGAGACTCCACTTAGCAGTACAATATCGCCAGCAAAATCGAGATCAGATCACTTACCATTTAGAAGCACATCAATGCCACTATCCTTGTACAAGGACAGGGGTGTTTACAGTATAATAGAGTGGAAAGAGAGAGAGGCTAGCTCTAACGAACACGGCTTTTGTGGTGAATCCACGCAAAAAACGGCTGTAAGCTGTGAGTCAGCTTCGTTCGCTCGTATAAAGGGATCCTAATATTGAAAGTTCCCTCACATAATTATCAAGGAGAGGCAGTGCCGCAGTATACATCGGTCAACTGGATCTAATGCTGATTTCAGTAGAGAACAACGGAGATTGTGTCTATGAAAGGAATGTCAGCGTTCCGGAATTTCCAGCAGAGTCAAAATGTGGTTCATACATCACCGACCGGATTCTAGAACCAGCCTGGTTCTCACGCGCGTATGGTTCACCTATGTAAGACAATCGGGTACGGTGCCAGCAAGAAGTGTGGATACGACGCACATCAAACTAATTACTCGTTGATTATCTCCGGACGATCTACCGACTTTCTTGTACATTGGAAAGATGATCGACTCACACCATTAAGTGAACTTTGTTCAACTGCACTCAAGCTGAGAACAGAATTAAAAGTAAAGACTGCTCTATGCCGAATAATGTGGACACTCGTGATACAGAAAAAAGACCATTAATGATCAATTAACGAATACTGCTATCAAACACTTACAGCGCTCCTGGGACGTAGGATGTGAGGCAGGGATGTGACAGATGACCCGTAATTACCACCAACTACCATGGCAGATGCACCGGAGGATCCGGAATGACTGGTTAAAATGCTCCGACTGGGTAAGGAAGCCTGGGTAGTAGATAAGAACTGAGGTCGTTGCTGTAAGAAGTAGCTAGTTGGCACCGAGCTCTTGGACACTTGGGTTGTGAGGTAGGCACCCGTTACCGGGATTGCTGTAGAACTTGGTACTTGGTTGCACGACAGAGATGAAATGCGCGAATTCTGAAATCAAAACCAGAGTGTGTATCACAAATAACTTCATTGTTTCATAACTAAAACGGCAAGGGCAAAGATTACGCCTATCCAGAATGGTTATGATTCGCGATCCGTAACGTGAACGAAATAGTTTGTTATTCACCATCACAACAATGTTTCTATCACAGGTTAGAACAGAATCTTAAAAGGTAAGAAATGAGATCAGTTCCATACCATCGGCGAGAATTGGCACGTAGATCAAAATCGTGCGACACACTGACTTTCATTACATTTGTTCTTCCAACGCTCACATGTTTCGAACTTTCGTTCAAGGGATTGCATATGATATTGCCTCACATCGAACGCAATATCCACTTGTTTTTGCCAATAAAATGTACGATTTCTCAATTTCGACGACGGCTGCTAGCTAGTGCATCAGTTGTAAAATAACGAAGCCTCAGTAAAAAAACACCTAAAATTGATTTATAAAAATGGCCCATGGGTTTGATTAAAGTATCGTTTTTTCATGTTGTCAACCTAATATTTGCCCTTCCTCATTTTTGAGCACTAGGGGCTTTTGCACGGACTCCATCAAGTTGATCGTCAAACAGTACTTGTCAGTTTCCTCTAATATATGCCACACCCTATCCATTGACCACAGGGAAAATTTTCGATCACATTAAAATCCCAAGTGCTGGGCGGTAATTGAATAAACTCGATACTGGGCTTGGCCAATTTGGAAACTGCATAAATATGAAAAAATAGTTAGAGGTCTAACCGATATCTACCACCAAACTCCAGCGAGAAGATAGACTAATCTTCATCTGTGAAAAACCAACAACTGTATTTACTTCTCTTCCAACTCATTAGGTAGGATGGACGTTCACTTCTTTGGAAAGGTAAAACGAAATTAATTAGAAAACCAAGTCAGTAGACCACCGTTCTCCGCCTACTGAATTGCTCGTTGGTCACCAGTGAGATAAACCCATTGCCAAATGGACAGACGACGCTAGTTGAAGCTTTTGGTAAAACAAATACGTGTTCTACCTTGTTGCGCGTTGAATAACGGCTCCATATCGGGTGGCCTTAACCGCATTTCAAACATTTTCCAAATGGTAGCCTGAGGGGAAAACGGATAACCCGGGACTATCCTCCATATTGGCTGTGTGCAATTGTTCTCAGTTGCGATCAAAATCAACCAGCGTCTTACTTTGATATGATCGGTTTTCTCCCTCTTGGTTCTTCTCTGGACGGTGAAATTCCATTGATTATTCAATGAATTGGTTTTATGTTCACATTAAAGCACATGCGCAAGTAAGGAACTAAGTGATCGAATTTGTGCCTCTCGGTTTCAACTATATGCTACATCTCGTTAATGTTTCTTTCGCTTTCGGAACACTGACTCTACAGGTCACTTATTCAACGAATCGCACGCCTCAAGGTCAACTTTCGAGTGCATTTAAAATAGGAGTCATGTTAGACCAGTTGGATCAACACCTGTATAGAAGAGCTTGAGGTGAAGAGAAAAGTTTAGGAAGATAAAATACACCTGAGTGATGGAGTCCTTTTTTCCTGTTTTTCAGCTCAGGAACAAATGTGTAAACCAGCAAAAATCGCATGAGGAGACAGTTAGAAAACCATCAAGTGTACCCACATATAGCGATGATGAACTTTGTCACACCAACTGAATACGGATTGTTTAAAGACAAGATAACATTTCATTCATCTGCGGTTCATTTAAATCATCCATTAGAAGCGGTCATTCAACGTGGCGGTTTACGAAGCCAACCGCTAAGCTAACAAAAAGCTTGTCTACTCATAAGCAGTTGCAAGCACGAAAATCAGAGATTACCTGAACACCGAAGTTTCTCGAGACAGACGAAGTTCGCCAACTTGCAGGGAGCACAATATTGCTAGATCCATTATCAACGGGGACAGCTACACCACCGGAGACATTAGCGGCACTAGTATTGTTCATTCCGTCGGAATCTGTACCGGTTGACGTGATGACACCTGAAGAGGATACAGAATGGTTGCCAGGACCAGCACCCATCAAATCCAGAGCACTATTACTGCCATAGTGTGCCAGGCGACTCATTGTAGGATTCAAAACTTGCTGCTGCTGCTGCTGCTTAGAAGAGTGGGAAAGTAACTGTCCAGGAGTGAGAGCGGACGAAACAGAAGTGCCCCCGAGAATGCGCTGTTGTTGTTGCTGGGAGCTGCCGACGTGAGCAAGGGAAATGACTGTGCTTGCTGAAGCCAGCGAATGGGTACCGAAGCCACATCGAACGGGCAGCTGGATCGATCAAATAAGAACCAAGTGGGATAGAAATTGGATGAAAGCTCAAATGAAAAACAATGACTCATTGTTGAGATCAACTTGTGGAGCCGAGACATAAACGAAAACGAACACTTCTGTACTCTGTATTATTGTGAACGGTGGGTACGGTCAGGGATAACTTAGTGGTTACAATCATCAAGATCTACTGATTTTTTTTATTATACACAATTTGTGCAATAAACAGCAGACGGGGTGGACCCCGTAGTCGTGAAGAAATGCTGTTCAGTATTGGAAACCGGCATACTAAGTAGGGAAAAGTGAACGACATAACGCCCCGCGAGGTTAACTTAGCTTCAAGAGACAGAAAGGTGCAATCGCAATTGTGTAAACAAGTCAACTCAGTTTGTTGGAGCACGGTGTTGGAAACGGATAAAAAGATAAAACCTTATGGCTAGACTCATTTTCTTCAATCTCTACTACCAACAAATCTAAAGAGTGAACATACAGGAAAGGCGTCCAAACACTACGCCTGTTTCGAGTGAATAGAGAGGGGAGGATGATTAGCGGTAACAGGAAACCATCCAACTCTGAAAAGAAAAATTTGTGTCAATGGCAGGAAACACTAGCATCGTCTAATCGGTTGGATTTTTGAATCCATCAAAAACTGACTTGGAAAAGAGCAAGGAAATAAAGTGAGTACCTTCGACGCGAGCCATTTGAAGAACGTTCTTTTTTACCATGGTAACTTACCGTAATTTAACCGGCACACAACCTCAAATCAGAAACATCTCACATCGCTAATAACTTGAAACGAACACAGAATTAGAATTGAACAAGATATTAAAAGGCGTTTTGGTTTTTATCAATGAAAAGAAAATAAACACCATCACCCCGTTATGCAGGGATTGCTTACCATTACACTAGCCCCGCGTTGATTGCTCGCATGGGTGAATGACAAATGACTGCCGCTCAAACTCATTGGTAAAGTAGCCACGATCCCAGAGCCGCCAGAATCAAGCTGTAGCGACAACTGTCCCGCTTGTGGATGTGCCGAGTCTGAAGGATGAATGATAGACTGTGATGGGTGATAGACACTAGTTGGTGCTGTTGTGGTGATCGCACTGTTCGTACTAACTGCAGCGGAAGGAGCAGAGCTCAGCTGGGCAGCGGAAAGCGCTTCTGCTCGCATGCGGGCTTCGCGTTCTTCTTTATTTTTGATCACCATAGCCGGTGTAATCAGTGTGTCCGGGTTGATATTGTGCTCCTGATAATGAGAAACGACAAGATAAAAAATTGAGGTTTGATATGAGTGTATCCACATATACGCGAAGGAATTTCAAAAATGGTGAACGGCATGGGTATTCACTTTGAAGGACGACACTGTCATTGATGAGATGCCAACCGCATGACAAAGGCATTTAAACAAGTGAAGACGATGACGGCTTAGAAAATAAGTAGCGATTAGGCTTAGCTACTAAATGCCACATAATCTCAGTTGAATTGCCCTTTTGATAATATCATACTCACGATCTAGAATTATGATTAGGTCAAAGATGAAACCCAAATAAAGACCCGGTTTCAATAGAATGTGCTTGTTTGGCATATCAATGAAATGAAACAAATTTTGTGCTAAATATCAGTGGAATTTCTCTGAAGAGACAGATGTAATCCAGCTACAGATAAGTATGCATGTCCTCTGGAAGATCTGAGTCATTTGATTCGCCCTCTTCTTCTTTTTACTTCTTTTTATTGATCACATGACACAGGCAGGTTTCAGGAAACGGGAAGCCTAACAACTCAGTAACTGCTTGCGACAAACAAAAATTGATCACTGCATAACGCATGATAATGGCAAACCACCACGAAAGACGCAAAGTACTGCTCAATTTTTAGCAGTTTAACACTAATCGTATAGAGCCGTGATAGCCATTCATGAAGGTTATGTCCAACCGATAACCGGCGAATGGAAAGTAACATCTGATTTATTTGTGATCAAGAGCAAAAGTAAGTCTAAATCTGATACCTGAAGTGCAGCTATATGTGTCGGGTTCTTCTGGATAATTGGCCCAGTGTGAGTCAACGAGGAAGCTGACCCGCCAGAAGGTACTCCGGATTCGGATACTGAAGTTGAAGATTGGTCGTGTACGGCCTGATGTCGGTGATGGCGATGGTGAGTGAGCAGTGCTGGAGCAGTCGGAGGATGACCAACATGGCCAAGTGGAACGGAGGAGAAAGAGCCAGAAGAACTATGGTGATG